AAACAAATCTAATGTGAAAATATGTCACATCATCATACTTTAAATCAATAAAACTCATATATCTAACTCACATCATAACTTATCTAAATAATAGTAATTAAAAAAAATAAAAACCATAGATAAATTAAATTAAAAAAATAGAAACCCACAATTCCATCTTAAATAAATTTTTAAAAAATAATAATAAATATAAACCACACAAAAATAAAAAAACATAAGAATTTAGATATAGACCTCAAAAAGATGTGACAATATCTAAATTTGAATTATGATTTAATAATATAATTATCTATTTTTTGATGTATATCTATCAAAATTTTAAATCACTTAATGAGACAAATTAATTAATTTTCAAGTTTATTTAAAGAATAATTTGATTAGTCATCCCAACTCTTAGAGTTCTCAGGCACTAGCGGAGGAGCTGACGAATTAGGTGGGGCAAGGTCTAAGTTGTTGGGAGGTAATATCCTACAACTTCATAAATTTATTTGTTTTTTAATTTTATTTTTTTCCCTGTGTGACTCTCTTTCTCTATTATTGGTTTGGTTTTGGTTTCAGTTTTACTGAGATTTATGTATTTGTTTACAGGTTTACATGGTGGAGAAGAATTATTGGTGATGATAGTTGCAATCGAAGTATCTATGCCCATTTTGTGCCAAGGATTTTGATCGAATTTTGTTTTTTCAATGAAAATTGTAAAATTGAAGTAAAAAAAATAGGTATCGAATTTTTTTATTTTTTATTGTCATGTTATTTTATTGAAAATGTGAAAATTTATTAGGATTTTAAGATTGTACTATATTATTAGATTTCTATATAACTAGGTAAATTTAAAATTTTTAAATATCATGTTTTTTATGTTTATCCTCTTTCTATCATATTATACCATTATTGCTATTTGTTAGTTTGTTAATTAAATTCAATTAATTGAGAATGAAAGCTTAGTATAACTTTTCATATATATTAATTAATTTTTTACCACTATATTTGTATATAATAGTATAATATATAGGAATAATCTTCAAATATAATTTTTATTTTTTTTATGTTATTTGAATAGTCAATCTTAAAATAATTGTGTTGTTTGGTATAACTGTTAAAACAGATTATAGATTATACCTTAACAGATTATAGATTATGACTTTAATCAGAAGCTGTTAATCTATTTGGTATACCTGTTGGATTATAGATTTAAGTTGCTGAGTAGTATTTGTTAAATAAGCTGTGAAGTAACTTTTTCAATTAATTTTTATTTTCTAATATTCACTATTTGTCTACATTTCTCATAAAAAATAATAATAATATTTTGTAGTCCATTTGGTCTTTTTCTATTTTAAAAAAAAATAAAAAATAAAAAAAAAATTAAGAGTATAACCGTGAATTAACATGTCTACAGCAGAAAGCTGATAATTATAAGCAAGGGATAAGTAGCTTCTCAGAATCAGCTTTTTTGACTTAAAATAAGTTGTTAGAATTAGAAACTGTTTGAAATAAGTTTAACCAAATAGTCCAAAATAACTTTTTAAAAGTCATGAGTCATAATGAAAGCTTAGTATAACTTTTCATATATATTAATTAATTTTTTACCACTATATTTGTATATAATAGTATAATATATAGGAATAATCTTCAAATATAATTTTTATTTTTTTTATGTTATTTGAATAGTCAATCTTAAAATAATTGTGTTGTTTGGTATAACTGTTAAAACAGATTATAGATTATACCTTAACAGATTATAGATTATGACTTTAATCAGAAGCTGTTAATCTATTTGGTATACCTGTTGGATTATAGATTTAAGTTGCTGAGTAGTATTTGTTAAATAAGCTGTGAAGTAACTTTTTCAATTAATTTTTATTTTCTAATATTCACTATTTGTCTACATTTCTCATAAAAAATAATAATAATATTTTGTAGTCCATTTGGTCTTTTTCTATTTTAAAAAAAAATAAAAAATAAAAAAAAATTAAGAGTATAGCCGTGAATTAACATGTCTACAGCAGAAAGCTGATAATTATAAGCAAGGGGTAAGTAGCTTCTCAGAATCAGCTTTTTTGACTTAAAATAAGTTGTTAGAATTAGAAACTGTTTGAAATAAGTTTAACTAAATAGTCCAAAATAACTTTTTAAAAGTCATAAGTCATAAGTTGGCTCAAAAAAGCCCCACCAAACACCCCTATATATAGAGGAGTTAGCTAACTTCTTTTATCCTCAAAAAATCCAATCATTTTTTTTTATACTTTTTAATTTTTTAAATTGAAATATCAGTTGTTTGTGTTCACAAAAAAAAATTAATAAACACATATCCAAAAGCTACAAAAAAAATATTTTTTTCTTTTATTTTTTCTTTTTTTAATAGGCAGAATATTTACAAATGAAAAATGTTTCACACCTCAAATTTTTTTTCATAATCCGACTTATGATGATGTGGTTATAAATGTCAATTTTTATAAAAATATGAGAAAAGAATTAATCCAATTATACATTTCAACCAATCACATATTCAAATTTTTACTATTTCAAGATATTATTTCACTATAATTCTAATTAAGAGAATCTTTAACCCTTAATATTTTTTTAATCGAATTATAAATTGATAAAAATTTAAAAAGATGAAGCGTTGGAAATTCTTGTTTTTTTCATCAAAATTGATGAAAAGAAAAAAAAAATTGAGATAAGAATGAAAGTTCTTTTAAAAATTGATAAAAAAAAATTTAATGAAAAAGTTAAAGTAATTTATATCAAATCAAATCAGATTTTTTATTGAAATTTAAAATCAAATTAGATTAAAAAAAATTAAAAGAAAATAATGAAAAATTGAAAATATTCTAAAATTTTCTTATTCTTAATGACTAGAAATTCGTGTGCGTATTATATTCATTTTGTAATTTTAGTTATGAAATTAAAACTAAAAGAAATATAACTCAAATTATTGGATTAATAACATAAACACCATATCAATTATTGTAAATATCATTTTACTTCACATTTAATAATAAAATGGTATATTTGTCGTAATTACAATTTTTAAATTTGCATATTTTCATAATAAGAAGAGGTATATCATAACTTATGTAACCCATTTAATTAGGTTTAACTTTTTTTTATTATAAATTATCAAAAGTGCACTAAATAGATTTGAACCATTTAGTCCTAAAAATTTTCTTATGCTCCATTTAGTCCCATTTTATACATCATCATGATGTTCATGATGTAAATGAATCTGATGTTTCATTCTATAATTTCAAAATTTATTGAAATCTGATGAACATTAGATATTTGAAATCTAATGTTTGAAACATTGTAATGGGACCTTTCAGTCTATAAAAAAACTTTTAAGACTAAACAGTGTATAAGTTATTAATTTGGGATTTATTGATGCATCCCCCTTGTTAAATATCATTTTACTTCACATTTAATAATAAAATTGTATATTTGTCGTAATTACAATTTTTAAATTTGCATATTTTCATAATAAGAAGAGGTATATCATAACTTATGTAACCCATTTAATTAGGTTTAACTTTTTTTTATTATAAATTATCAAAATTGCACTAAATAGATTTATATATATTTTTTTAATTTTTTTAAACTCATAATTTAAAAAGTTATAAATATAAAAATTAACTTATAAATTTCTTGTATATCATAAGATAAAATATTAAATTACTTCAACATATTTATAATGATTTTTTTAAAAAAAAAATTTATAAAATCCGTGCATAGCACGAATTATGAGAAATCTAGTTTTTTTTATAGTACAATTATTATATTTTTAAAATATTAGATTTTCAAAATTAAATTATCGTAGTATATTTTTTTAAAAATATCAATTGTTATTATTATATTTTTTATATTATTAATGAATTTAGAAGAAGAACAAAATATTACGATTTCGTTTGGGAAGAAGGGTTAGGTTGGGTTTTGGAGCTATTTTAGTCATAAAAAAATAAAATAAACTTTTTAGCTCAATAAGATAAAATATCACATTCAATCAATAATCATTACATTATTTATCTCACAAAAAGTCAAAAAAGTCAAAAAATTCTTCATAAACAAAATTTTTTTGGTCCAAAATTAAAATAACTAAAAAATTAAAAAGGTAACTCACTTCCCAAACAAAGCCTAAATTTACATTATTTTATTTCTTTAATTTTGAAAAAAAAAATATAATATTTTAAGATAATAAAAAATTAATATTTTGGAGCCTGAGAGAATAATCACTTTTCAAAATTAGGTCAATTTGCGGCTATTTGGCCTAACTTATTTAATACTGCTTATTATTACAAGTACCAAACCCCCAACTTTGAGAATAATAATAATGCAACTCATTGCACGAATCTCTCATTAAAGCAAAATTTCTAAGAGTAAATATTACTCCTCCTTTTAAAGGGACTATTTTTATGAATCAAACCGAAGACACTATTATGAGTTCGTGTTGAAAGTGGATTCACTTTTTAATTTTTTAATTATTTTAATTTGAAATTAAAAAAAAAAATTGAGATAAATTTTTAATTTTTTTAACTTTTTATGAGAGAAATAATATAATAATTATAAGTTAGATATAACGTTCTATCTTATTAAATTAAAAAATTTATTTTATTTTTTTATAATTAAAATAATCTCAAACCCAACTCAAGTTACCAAACGTCACAAAGGCTATCTATCAACAAGTTTTGTCATTGGGCAAAAAAAATTTAAAAATAAAAATAAATGAAGACTAGGTGAAGTTTTGGATGTAACTTTCCAAATTTGTCATTTGCAAAGTCTAGTAAGGTTACGGATTCTATCAATTAGGGTAACCCAAATTAGAATTATAAAAACGAATTGCAAATTAGTCAAATTTAATAACTTTGAAAATGTGTTTAATTTTTATTTATTTACCTTTCAAGTAGATCTCAAACAAATTTTAATAGGGTTAATAATAAGTGGAGCTCAAGTAAGTTAAATGTAAATTTACAAAGCCCAATAATATCATGGTCAAATAATTTGGTTCGTTTACCACATAAACCGCAATTATTTTTTTAACTAATTTTGATTGTTCCATTTCTGCAAAATTATACAGAGTCTTTAGCTTCATAAAGTGATTCAGAGAAACCAACTTGTTCTATAATCTGTATTTAGCACAGAAAACTTCACTATTATACATACATCATTCACCGCCAAACACGAAACATGTTGAGCTCAAACTCTTGGACATACAAAGCCCAGGCTCAGTACTTAGCAGCAAGCTGATTAACCAAAGCTAATGCATTACTTGTGACTTGTGCAACATTAGTGACTCGGGCCCTAACCGAGGTCTTGATCCTACCCTCCAAAGCCCGGCCCGAAAACCCATCCAAACAAGTATTTTCATCAGTCAGTGCAGCACTAACCCATGTCTCAACATTACTCATGTGCCACAAAAAGTCCTTACCCTTGCCTTTGCCCATGGCCTTGAGCTCTTGTACTGATTGGCTAATTCGGTCCACGCTATCACCAATCTCGTCCAAGCAATCCTTGATGGCTGCATACTCTCTAGCCTTTAATCCCTTAAACTTGGTTAGTTTTTTCACAAACGCCTTCATGGATTCGGCCCGGGCCTGGCTCAGTGATAGGGCGGTCTGGGCCAATTGGCGCGGGCTTTGTTGGATGGCACTGGCATAGGCCGAGAGAGACTGGACGCACACGGCGGGGTACTGAGTGGCCTTACATGAGACCTCGATGAAATTTGTCGAGGCGGCGGACTCGGCCTTGCCGGCGATGTAGAGAAGGGAGAGGATTAGTGGTAGCAATGGGAGATTAGTTCTTGCCATTTTATGTTTTTGGTTTTTGGACACCAATGAAATGGCTTTAGTTTCTTGGTTGTGAGGGAATGAGGAGATTTGTCTAGATTTTATACAGAGCTTGAGAGACTTTTTTTTTTATCAATGCGGGGCCATATGGGGTTTCTTTTATTTATTCTAACCTTGTCGTGTGCGTTGATGTGTGTTGGGTTTGGCAAATTGCCAACAATGACGAGTCGGATAATCAAGCAACAATCAAGCAGAAATCTATGGACACTATAGATTTGAATTAGGGAGAAGATTGATAGTCATGATATTGTATTCCTGTTACGTTATGTGGAGAATGACTGTGACTTCCTCCGATCCACTTAGGTCATGTTTGTTTGATTTTATAGAATAAAAGGGATTAAGAGTATGATAAAATTAAGTGAAGTGATTATTAATATGGTGATATTAGGTTGGAGATATAGGATAAAGAGTATTTATTTATATATTACCAGATTAGTAATACTATAAATAGTATTAATATATCAAACTAATATTTTTTAATATTTTATTTATTTATTTTTTTGTTCTAACAAATATATTTTTTCACTTAAAAATTTACTAATCCCCTCACTTAATTTTTAATCACAACATTCTCATGACTTTGTTAGTCCTACCACAAGGGAGGATTACTAATCTAACACCATCCCCACCAGCTTACTTAAATTTTATCCTAAAATATTATTAAAAAATTCATTCCCTATTTTAGGAATCACTTTTTCATTTACTTCCCCCAACAGACTCCCTATTCTTTCTTTATTCTATTAGCAAACTCTCTATTTTTTCTTTATTTTATTAAAATATAATTTTTAATTATAAATTTTAAAAAAATAAAAATTATAAATGTGTACTGCAGTCCCTAAACAAAGCAAAAAAATAAAAAATAAAAAATATAAGGGAGCTACAGTGACTAATTTAAGGGATCATTTAGGGGATCTGATGCAGGTGGATAGGGAGCCATTTACCCCTTAAAATAGGTAAGGAGGGGGTTTAGGGGCTTTGGTGGGGATGCTCTAAGAGCATGTTTGTTTGGACGAATTGGATAAGGAAGGATTGTAATCCATCGAACTGTTAGTCCTCGGATACATTGTTCCCGGACTATTTGGTTGGACTAGATTCGTATCTTATTTTTGTTTAGTCATGGGATTAGATGTCTGGATTGGACTATTTTTAGTAAATCTAATGTTTGGTTAGACGAAAAAAATAATTTTATTTAATATATAAATTTAATTTTTGAACAACACAAAAAAAAATTTATAAGGCCATAATCTATAATTTATATTTTTTTATTTAATATATAATTTTAAATTTATAATTTAACAACACTAAAAAATTTTAATTTAAAAGGCCATAATTTTTAATTTATTATTTTTAATTAAATTAAATTTATAGTTTATATTTTTTATTTAACATATAATTTTAAATTAACAACACTAAAAAAATAATTTTATTTAATATATAAATTTAATTTTTGAACAACACAAAAAAAAATTTATAAGGCCATAATCTATAATTTATATTTTTTTATTTAATATATAATTTTAAATTAACAACACTAAAAAAATAATTTATAAATGTTCAAAAGACTATTTTACCCTTTTTCAATGTTTATCAAGTAATAGCCTGAGGGTAAAATGGATGTTTCACACATTAGTCACATGGTATACCAATCCCATGGAAATAATCTCACCCCCTCCCCAGGATACAATAATCTCTCATATGAGAGACTAATAGTCCGGAGGGACTATTAATCCAGAGCAAAAAAATTGAACTAGACAACGGACTATTAGTCTGGATGGACCCAATCCTTCAAAACAAACACCACCTATGGGGATAATTAATCCCCTCACTCATATCACTAATCAAACATTCTTCAGGTGGGTACCACAGACTATTAGCCCAATCCCCCTTTCAAAGAGCCAAACAAATATGGCCTTATGAATAGAAGGGTACTGTTGGCCTTGGTGGATCCAGATTGAGACATTTCAATAATTCAAATAGTTAAATATGTAAGACTTATTAAGTACATTATTTTTATAAAAAAAAATTACGTTAATCGAAATAATATACTCAATAAACTCTATATATTGAACACTTTGGATCATTGATATATTCTATGAGCAGGGCCCATTATGAGCCAATAGTATCCTTCAATCCAATTAAAGACGGAAGATGAGTCAAACTAGTAGAGAATGACTAGTCTCTATATTATTATTTTGGATATCTTTTTAAATTTTATTTTTTAGGTCTTATTTTGAGCCTACAACGATAATTTGAATTATTCATTACGTAAATCTCACAATAAAAATTGTTTGTACAAAAAATTAATTTTATTAGATATCAATAAATAAATTAACAGATCGTATTTTATTTTATAAAATAAATATTTCAAGTTTAAACTCATAATCGTCATTTATTTTTAAAAATAAAAATATATAATCTGTTTACGCGTTTAGTAATGTTTGATAAAATTATTTTTTACACAATTCATTTTTATTAATGGGCCTATGAGACAAACGATTCGGATTATAATTGTGGGTTGGAGATAAATGTTAATTTTTAATTCATCATAAATCCAATCATGTGAGGAGAACTAATTTATGATGTCATTGTGGGTAAAAATGAGATTTTTAGTTTGGAAGCAACTTACCTCCGATCCAGGGTCGGATTGGACGGTATTGTTTGACTTATAGGAGCCTATCACATGTCTCATTTTAATAATTTGAACCTTTCAATGTGTAGAACTTGTCGAGTACTATATACTTGTAAAAAATCACGTTGATCGGATATCGATAGCTATCTCATCGGATCAATTTTTTGTCAACTGTTAATTTGTTCACCGTTCATTTTTTTATACAAAACTGATTTGATCACATAACTATCGATATCTAATCAACGTGATATTTTACAAGCATATAGTATTCGAGGAGTTCTACACATTTAACAGTTCGGATTATCAAAACAGGACCCGTAGTGAACCCTCAAGAGCCAAACAGCACCATCCAATCGATCTCGAACTGGAGGCAAGTTGCCCCTTTAGTTTATAGAGTTTAATTTTGTTCATACACTTGGTAATTGATAAAAAAAAATAATATAAATTTTAATTTTTGGTAGGACTAGTACATGTTTTAAAATATGAAATCTATCATTTTCAACCAATCAAACTTAAAGCACTCAAAAAAACATGTATGAATAAATTTATTTTCTCAGTCTTGAGCGTTTCTTTAATCCACATTAAAAATAAGATAAATCTTTGACGTTATGCCACCGACGCCAGCCGGTACCGACACGGGTCTCATCACTGCTAGTAAACGCGGCCGACTATACTCCATTTGTGATAGAGTTTTCACACTTATTTTATGTGAGTCCCACTTAAATAAACCACCGTGTTGCACAATTAAAATTAAGATAAAAATTCGTTTATCATTTACAAATAACTATATTAGTCTTTTATGATACATTCATCGAAGTGTGCAACCAACCTGTTTATTATTTAAAAATAACTACCTAATCCCTTTGTGGTTTGTCCACCAAAGTACACTACTACTTCGGTAACAGAAATTATAAATTGAGCTTAAACCTGTATATATATACACATATCTATAAACATATATATATATATATATACAGGGACGAACTACGTATAGATCAATAGCTCACATAATTTTTGTGGTTAATTTTATTCCCTTACAGATATTTTTTAATTTATGTCCTTATTTTATATTAACTTTTATTATGGGATGGATATAACAACAAAAAGGTTTGATCAGGGACGGAACTACCTTTAGACCTACAGGGGCCTTGGCCCCCCTGCTTTGTATAAGATGTTCTGTTATTATATATAGATTTAGTTTAACACACCAACAACTTCTCCTATGGGCCCCTCCCATCTTATAATTTTAACTATTTTCTTTACCAGCTCTTTATAATACAATAATAATATAATATATATAAAAAAATGTTATTATAAAAAATATATAATTCCTTTTTTTTTATGAAAGTTTAGAATATTTATAGTATTATGCGTAGTAAGGCCTCGTTTGGCAAGAGGCTATTTTAGCCAATTAGCTAAAAAGTTACTAAATTAGCCAAAAAGCCAACAACCCATACAAAAAGTCAAAGATTCTCTTTTCTCTCTACTTTTTGCACATCTTTTTGTAATTAGCCAAAAAGTCATCCCAAACATACAAGTTTTTTTTACCTACCTTTTTAGCCAAATAACCAAAAAGTTACTAAATTAGCATGTTCCCAAACGAGGCCTAAATGTTACTAATAGTTAATTTATGGTGTGCATCTCTAAAGTGAAAGTAAAAGTTATAAATTATTATAGTTACGTTATGAACAGTGTAGTGTAAATCTTACGAATTATTTGTGATGCAAAATGTTACAAACTATTTTAGTGAAAGAAGTTGCAATTTGTTGTGGTTATGCTACAGACATATATTGTGATAACGTGTATACAATATGTACTTTTTAAAAAGTGCACACCATAATAACTCCCTAACATATTATGTTCTAAAATATGTTTTTAATTATATTATTCACTTTATAAATGAAATTAAGTTTACAATTTTTGTATCTCATTAGCCCAATCACTATTTATTGCTACTGCAATATAAAAACTCTCACTGATTAGTGATGTTATAACGTAATATTAATGTTACATCAAATATTTAATAAAAAAAAAAATTTATTCAATTTCAATTAATAGTATGAAAAATCACAATTATTTCTTGCACGAAAATCTATTGTTCTATATATACCATATATAACAAATAAAAAAAAAAAAATTCTTCACAAACTCAAACTTTAATCAATCAGTAAATTTAAAAAAAACGTTATAGCTTCCATTGACCCAACCAAACTTCATCGATACAATGGGTAGCCATTAGAGAAAAAATGGGGGAAAAAAATTATCTGTGTATGGGAAGAGAAAATCATGGTAGGGTGGCTGGGGTTGGTAATGGAGGACTAGAAATAGACACAGTAGAGAGAGAACCAAGAATCAATGGCATTGTTTTGTAAATTTGAAGGGTATGAGGGGTATATTTGTTTTAGAAAATATGACACTCTATGTCT